AGTGTCCCGTGGTCTGACGAATCAACATTTGAAATTCTTTTTGGAAATCATGGACACTGTGTCCTCCGGGCTAAAGCTTGTTATCAGTGCACAGTTCAAAAGCCAGTATTCATGATGTTATAGGGATGCATTAGTGCACATGGCATGGGTGACGTGTACATCTGTGAAGGCAATATTAATGCTAAACAATATATACATATTTTGGCAACATATGCTGCCATCCAGACAACTCCTTTTTCAGGGAAGGCCTTGATAATTTCAGCAAGACAGTGTCAAACCACATTCTGTATGTATTACAACAGTATGGCTCCGTATTAAAAGAGTCCGGGTGCTAAACTGACCTGCCTGCAGTCCAGACCTGTCACCACTGATAACATACGGCGCATTATGAAACGAAAAATACGACAAAGGAGACCCCGAACTGCCGAGCGGCTGAAATCCTGTATCAAACAAGAACGAGAAAGCGTTTCACTTTCAGAACTACAGCAGTTGGTCTCCTCAGTTCCCAAACGCTTACGGAGTTTTGTTAAAAGAAGAGGTGATGAAACACAGTGGTAAAAATTCCCCCGTCCCAACTTTTTTGGAGTGTGTTGTTGGCATCAATTTCAAAATGGGTATATATTTTTCAAAAAAATACATTTTTTCAGTTTCAACATTTAAATTTTGTCTTTGTAATATTTGCCTTTAAAAAATACGGTTTACATGATTCGCACATCATTGCATCCTATTTTTATTTACATTCTACACAGCGTCATAACTTTTTTGGAAATGGGTTTGTAATTTCCAGTCACAAAACGGAAAGTCTCAAAAATAATTATTTCAGTATTTAGCGTGTCCACTCCTTACCTTACAGCTTCCATTCTTTTCAGGAGACTTTCAATTTTTCAAAGAAATCTGCAGTGATATTTTTCCACACCTCAAGTTCAGTCTTAGAAGTTGGTTGCATTTTCTCCTTTTCATGATCCAAGTAATCCCAAACATATTCAGTGATGCTGAGGTCTGGACTCTGGGGTGGACAGCCCATTATTCTAAGAACACCAGCACTTTCTTTGTTTGATTTGCAAATGTTCCTTTTTTGTCTATTTCCTTTTTTCAGTGAGGCCTTCTTTACAGCTACACATTCTTTCAGACCCACAGTGCCGAGTTGTCTTCTCACAGTGAAAGGACGGACAGAAACCCCTGTGGATGTTTTCAGATTTGAAGCAAGAGTGGAGCCTGATTTTAAGTTCTGTTTATACTATTGGGGCCGTGTTAGTGGTCTACCAGGCCTTGCATGGTTGTTAGGAGTCTGATTTCCTCTGTATCGTTTAATCATTTCTTCAGCGTATTTGGAAAATCCAAGTTTGGAAACTCCTGTTTTTTCATTTTTTTATTATTCGATAATAAATATTTACTTCTTTATTAAATGAGATGGGGGGTGGTCTCTGACTTCTGCACAGTTCTGTTTATATTTCTGTATATAAAACAAACAGGCCGATTCTCAGAAGAGCTCACTTAAAAAATGCATTATCTGTTTGGAGTCCTCCGGCTTGGTCTCTGCTATGACCCACTGATCAATGTCTACTGTGGCAATAAGTAGCCTATGACTGCTAGCATCGGAGACAGCGTGGCGTCTTGAGTGGTGTCATAGTTGGGAATCCACATGAATGAGTAGTCATTTGGCACTAATAGGATATCAGTAAAGATGATTCAACCGCCGCAGGCCTGTGGTACTTTCAATTAATTTTCCTTCATGTTGTGGATTGGCAAGCAATGGAGCAATGATGCTGTTACTGTTATGCACTATGCTGTGTCTTAATACATACTTCAGTTCTATTTATTGGAGATAATATAATCAAAAACATGCGGCTTTGTTTAAGAATATACCACTTTGTCCCTGAATGGAGGAAGAAGAAGATACAAAGAGTCCATCGGTATTCACAGAGCATTGGTGAGCTGACCTAGAGTGACCCAGGACCTGCTCATTCACAACCATGACAGAAAGCTTGAGAGAAAATTTGTAATGTATGTCTTGGAGGTACAGACTGTTCGTTTCTGTGTTCCACAGAAGTTTAGCCTACGCTAACCTAGCCTACGCTAACTTAAGCGACTGTACGGTTCCTCTGAAATTCTCTTTCTCATTTAGTGTCATCTCACTCCGCATTTGAATAAACACAAAACTTGCCCACATGCAAGGGTTAACAATGAAGAAATCAAATCATCAAAGGCATGTCAAAGACCTGGTGCTGCAGGGACATGCTCTACAAAATCTCTCTCTCTCTCTCTCTCTGTCTCTCTGTATATGTGTGTGTGTAGCATGCACAAGTGTTGAGGTCTCTGCGCGCTGCTCTTACTCTGTGGTTGCTCTGCGGTTTCACGTTCTCATTGCTCTCTAGTTCAGGTAGGTTGTATCCTCTTCCTGTTTAGCTAGCCACTAGCGAACATCACTATATTCTCCATATCATAGCCATAAGAACATGGGTGTAGGAGGGGAAACAAATCCCTCAGACAGTAAAGGAATCGTTACCAGTGACCTCAAGCTCAATTTAGCTTCAGCTACAGTGAAATGTACTCATTCCATTACTTCAGTGGCCCCATACTGACAGCAACAGCCAGAGGTTTGATTCAGTCCTGATTCTTTTGAAAGCAATAGCTTGATCAAACATGCTAATGTGGCTAACAATGAATGGTAGTTAGTAGACCTATTCAATTTTATTCTTTTTAGCAACATTAGCATTTGAGCAATTCATTACTTTTAGCATTAGAACAAGACAGCTTGACCAATCACGTTAATATGACTAGGAAGGCACCAATATGACAACTGGGGACCAACATCCGTTATTTCTCTTGTGCATATCTGCCGATGACGATTCATAAACATTATACGTTAAATGTAGAAACTGGAACTAACTGAGACTAAAATGCAAACATTTTATCACAGTAAGCCTCAAAAACTCTGCTATTCCAGAGTATAATAAATATGTCATCAAATATCTGTTTGAAATCTGTCAAATATAAACATCCATTTTTCCATCTATTTTTAATAAACAAATTTCTGCCAATATCAATATTACTCTGATATTACCATGCATACCTAAATATGACTAACAGTGTTGTGAAGTTAACAGATCGCAGTTCTTATTAGCATAAAGCTAATTAGCATAAGCATAAGCATATTTGGGGCTGTTTATTTTCATTCATTTTTAGTAAGATTAGCGTTAAAGCAAGAGTGTGAAGTAGAAGTCTGCACTCCAGCTGATTCCCGCTGGAATGCGTTGTGGTACTAATTTTTATTGTTGTGTGCAGGACCGGGCAGCAAACCAGCCCACTGCAGGCGGGAGCAGGCCGAAGTACGCAAGAAGAGAAATCTCCCAAATTAACGAACAGCCTAAATAAAGTAGAACGGTCACGAATTCAGACATATCATATAAACAGTATAAAAGGATAACAGTAAAATAATTAAAACGAATAAAGTCATTTTAAATAGTGCTAAGCAACCGTTCATGTGAACAACACGCAAATTCTTGTAGACTCCAGAGACGACGGAGCCTTCAGTCTGACGGCCACAGCTGCCGAGTCCAACAAAACACCAAAATAACTGTTCTGTGGTTTAATTCCTGCTTTGTGTTCACTGGGAATAAATGGCGTTTGGTGAGGTCACTTCACAGTGAGCCCGATGACCATGACTGCTGCGTTGTTTCAGCAGAGGATAATCTATTTGTGAATAGACTGTGTCAGATATTGGATGTCAGTTTGCCTCAATGGAACTGCGTGGGCGGGACCGGGCCAAAATGTTTCGGTTGCGGGAGGGAGCGGCACAAATGATTCCGATTTTCTGCGGGAGTGGGATGAAATCCTGCAGGTGTGGGACTGGAAAAAACAGTTCCACACAGACCTCTAGTGTGAAGTTTGATTCAGTCCAGATTGTGTAGGAATAGCTTGAGCAAACTACTGTGACTAAAGGCCTTTACACACCAAGTGTATAAGTAGGACATCAATAAATGAACTAGAACACGTGTATAACTGATGGTATCTTGCAAATCAAATCACCAAATACGTTTTTTTTTCAGAAGGCGACAACGCAACTTTATTTTATTCGCTCTCTTGTTAGATTCTTGCTAACTTTTGCAAGCGACATGAAGTCACTCAACTATCACTGTTGTTTCTGAGGTTGACATGGTGACAACCAAGACCGTTTGGCAGTGTCGGCAGCTACTACAACAAACATTAAAAGGATTTGTTTGTTTTCCACTTCGTCACATGTGGAATTTCCAGAACAAGCTCAAACTGAGCTACGGTTGTCCAAACTGTAAGTGAGAACACTTTGAAAGTTTCAGCTACTGACTGAGGTGGTGAAGTTCTTCGTTTTCCTTTCGCTTTCCCAAAACAGAACGTAGCCCGTCCAATTTAACTTGTGACGGTAGGTTCACTTAATGCCGCTTTTGGCAGATCTATTCTTTTAGCCATCAATATTGCCAACAATCAAATGTATAAATCGAATGCAACCAAATGTAAAGGCCATGAGCTCAGTGGGGTCCCTTTCTTTTTCTTTAACTATGCAGAAGTCTCAACAATGCACCTTATACGAGCAGATAGTTACAAGGTTCAGATCCACCAGACTGCTGCATTTTCTCCTTTAGAACAAGCTGGGACCAGTGATTTATCAACCATCAACAAGAAGACTCTTGTTTTCAAATGTCATTAAACTTTATCATTAACTGCCTTACAATATTAAATACACGGAGGCAACAACTGAAAATTGATAAGGGAGAAAAAAGCTGCTTTTGCTATTGATACAAACTGAACAGCTAAAACCAGCTTTGTGCTGGAATCGGCTGTAAGAGCAGAACAGCACTTTGGTTTTCTTGTCTTGATTTTGCCTCTTCAGATGAACATCCTGTACACAACAACACCTCTGTTTCTAAACAATATGAGGAAGTCCTGCACTTCACACTGTCAAAAGCCGTAAACAACACGAGTGAAAACATTACATAACTACATTGACCAAGTCCACTGACATCAGTTCACTGCCTGGACAGTTCTCTCTCAGAGATGCTTCTGAAACGGGGGGAACATTTGCAAAATCACTACACGATCACGCAGCACTGCAAACATGCTGAAGTTTCATCTGCCTGGGCATACAGGCCTGCTCTGATTGTTTATGAACGTCTGCGTGAGTCTTGTGAGGAAGATGGCAGGGCAGTGTGATCTTCCTTCTGGTCAACATGGTGAGTGTTAGTCACGGGTCAATCATGACTTCATTTTCTCAGAGGGTTTTTTTCAGAAGGAGTCTTTTATTTTCCAGCAGCCTAAAAGCTGATATATTTTCTGACTAAGATTTCTCACTCTCTCCTTTAGGAACATGTTACTTGGATCTTCAAGAAGCAAAAGAAATTTACTTTAAGCAGAAAGAAAGGTAACTGTTTAAAAATCTATCAGTTATTGAAAACATATTTAGACCAACTCAGATCACACATTAGATCTATTTAAATGTACTCACAGGCAGTTCTGAGGATGTCAAGAACATCTATTTCTCATTGTTTTCATGACTAACATTCTCATCTTAAAGCAGGTTGGAATTTGGCTACGTAGCCAGAGGACTGTCTCCAGTGACAATACCACATTCATACATTCATAATAACAATTCATAACAATGCATGAATATAGTATGGTATTTATCATTCTAGTGCTTGAAGCCACCGGCAGGGCCGTCGCACTGGGGCCAGAAAAAAAAAATAAAGAAGTAATTTTCTAGGTAATTTTTATATAGGTTGGGGACACATTCCTTTTTTTGCCTTGGGGCCCATAAGATTCTAGCCTCTCCTTGCAGGTTGAACAGTAAATAGGTGGCAGGGATTAGGCAGAACTTTTAAATATTCAAATAGTTACGAAAGGTTAAAAAATCCAATCGCAAATTAGGACTTTTTATATGAAAATTAGCTTGTCTATTCTTATAAGAACCAGAGAGGTCTGAACTCTACACTCCACCAAAGGGCAGTCAAGACCCCGTGTCTAGGATCGTATTTGTTTAGTCCAAAAGAGGAAGCAAAGAAAGACTACTGCAGCCGACTAAAGGCTACTACACACCGGCTGAGAAGTGCCGCACTGCACAGGGTCAGGTAGAGGGTCTCTGGTGCTGGATAGCAGATAATAAGTGCAGCCACAGCACATGGATAAGTGCAGAAACGTGCCAATAAATAACAAGCTCAAGCTCACATATATATGTTTTTGATGGAATAAAACGTTCAACATCATTTAGTGAATTTATCAGGTTTGGTATGAGCTAACTAACTCTTCATTAAGTTTTCACTGTTTTCCAGCTGAAAGCTTTGATGTGAAATACAGTGTACTTTAGGTTAGCAACTTTAGCAGAAGTGAAAAATTAAAATTTGTCTTTGAATAATTTCAAAAAGCGGCTGAAAATTCTTTGGTAGACTCTTTCACACTCTCCTACAGAGCCATGAAGGATTAGACTGGTCTTTTACTGAGCCTCTAATGACCAGAGCACGCTGAGCCAACAAACACCAACATTCTTTAGTACTGGTAATATGATATTTAGTCAGCTGCCCCACTAGTTAAGCTATACAAGACAGTGGAAGCTCTGATTGGCCGAGAGGTACCTGACTGCAGCAAAGTATTGCCAACAAATGGCATTTGAGCACTCATCCTCACATATTATTGCACAGGCGTTTCACAGCAACAACACTGGCCGGGTCTTTTTACAATTATAATAATAATCATCGCGAACTCCATAAAATAAACCAACTAAACCAAAATCCTTATACGTCTGACCATCTTCATCATCAGAGACATAATGATATTTTTGCATACTGATGAACAAAACATGTAAGAAGCACATCACAGTGGTGTAACAAGAGAGTTCTGACCAGTCTGAACAGCGTTCTGATGGAGGTGGTCCTTTTCGGGTCACTTTTTTACTTCTTTGTTGCGCCAATCAAGTGAAAACAGCGGAGGTCAAGAATATAACTGACTTATTACTTACAGAGAGCATTACCACAGTAGCAGTGGCGACAGCTCTGGTTTTGCTGCTGTCAATGTTTTAACTTTCACATTTCTAAATAGTATGATGTCCTTTTCCTTTTCTGGAAAATAAGCAATTGACTCCTCAAGTTTCACGTGATTGGTTGTTCAACATAAACGTCACGTTTGGGGTCATTTGTTTCTTTTGTTAGGTTTAGTAATAATAATAATGCTAATAATAATAATAATAATAATAGTTTTGTGAAGCTGAAACTTAGTCAGGAACCCTGACTTAGTTGAACATGCTTCATGAGACAGGCCTCGGGTGTCCGTTGTGTCTTTGATCTCATGTGAAGTGAAGTCACCTGCTCTCTGGGGTGGACAGAGATTATCATTTAATCATAATTAAACTGCTTAAACCCTTGCAAAGGATTTTTTCTGAAAAACAGATCTACTAATAAAGCTAATGGGCATGACCATGAGTTTGCTTGTGACCAACATCAGGTTTGACACCCGGTGCTGACATGTGAAGTCATCTCACTACATTAGTGTAAGATGTAATGGTGTTGCGGTGCACGATGTTAGTGTAGAAGAGTAGAGCCTGTTACTGCAGCAAAAGGTGTCAAACTCCATGGTAATACCCGATTTCAGGAGAAATGAGATTAGAGGGTGTCCACACACTTTTGCACAAGCAACCTACAAACCAGCAAGATGAATGCCCGTGTTAATGTGTAGGACAGTGGAATCAATGAAGAAAATTCAAACGAAACGTTCAGAAGACTAAGCTACCACTGTAGAACAAAAGTAGACAGGCAGACTATTCTAATATCCTAATCTGGAAAAGTAGGGACATTTCTAGGGTGCAGAAGGCAAGGTCGGATGCGCTCAGCAAAAGAATGAGGAAACTTATCTATACAGAAAGAAACAGAAAGCAAAAGAGATGGTGACTTTTAAATGCCATTTATTCAGCCACTTTGAACTGAAAAGAAAGTACACAGCTAGTCTGCGGTCAAGCATTCGGTTGGTCCTTACAGCAAAACATGAACAATCCAGGTGAACAGCCACATCATTCTGGAGAAAACGGAAGCATAATTTTCGACAGACCTTTTACAGACAAACTCACAGAGTCAAACCCTTCACTGTCACACTGCAGGTGCATTCAACTTTTACCAGATCAAGAGAAAGATAAAGGACAAAAGAGAACCTTCAAAAGCTCCTCACAGTTACAGTGGCTAATCCACGGGTTTTTGCAGCAACTTTACAGGTGAGGCTCTAATCACATGCATGCAGACACCTGAGGAGGATCAAAGCCACCTGGCTCTTCACCAGCTCAGATCGAGCACTCCCACTGAGTAAACAGCCAATGCTTACCTGAGGGAAATCTGCACTGCTCAAGAACTCGAGTTCAGGCAAAGGTAAACTGCTGAAAACATCCATGTGCATCTCTGAAGTGCCGTTGGAGTGGAGCTGCCTGGGAGACAAAGTACAGACATATATATCAGGTGATGGGTGGCTGGGTGGACAGTAATAGTGATAGTAAAAGAGAAACCTGGTGAGCTACAATAAGAAACAAAGTGGGAGTGACAAAAAAGGGAGGAGCGGAAATTTCCCTTTTTATCAATCCACCGTCAAAATGTCAGTGTTTATTATACTGATTCACAACATGAGCCTAAAAATAGGTGACCCCAATGGTCGTTATACAGAGAGAGAACAAAATAACAGGAGACGAATGACATTTCAGAAATGTCAATACCTGAAATGCAGATGTGTCAGAATGTCAAATATTGGGCTGTCTCTATCAATTATATTAGTAATCGAGTAATATAGTGATTATTTTAAAATTAAGCAATCATATATACAATTTATAATGGCCAACATTTAATTTCACTTTATATACATGCAGTTCACAACTACAAACATATGTGCATTTGAGAGATCTTCCTGGTGTGGGTTTCCTCTTTTTCACAAGAGCAACTCAAATGCTAATAGCTCCCACTTGTGGAGGTTGTTCAGACTGATAAATACTGCCTTTATAATGTCCTATGAATGCTGTGTTTATCAATCAAACTGCAAACGAATCACTAAATTGATTATTAAAGAATGTAAATTTTAATCAATTAAATTTTACAGCCTTTGTAAAATATACTACCATCTTCCATCATTGTAAGGGAAACATTTTGAGTCTATTAACCCATATTTTGTATTTGTTTTGTTATAGATCCCAAATGAAAGCACAGGGCTGTCCTACCAGTAAGTGACCTAATCCCCACTCTCACTCAATAAGAGAACATATTTTCATTCTATATATAATTTTTTTAGCTTCCTTTTAAAATTGTATATATAAAAATAATATTAGAAAATACATTTTAAAAACCCACCTACCTTCCTTATTTGTATACTGTTTTGTACATCTGACCCTTGGCTCACAACAAACATTGCATACTGGCCCCCAAGACAAGTTTGGGCACCCCTGCCTTAGCATTAACATCACTGTTGTTTCACTGGTAAAACTCCCTTGGTGCCAGTTTTTAATTCAAACATCTTGATACAGGAAACGGTAGCTACACTGTGCCACGAGCCAGAGAGCGCTTTGTGACACATTTCCATGACGTGCTGTATGAACTCTATGACCAGTCACAGAGCATCTTTATGAGTGATCTGAACATTCAATCACAGGGTTCCCAAAGTATAATAAATAGCTATTTTAACAAAAAACACACATTCCTGTTTCAAACCATATTTCACAGCTTTGTTTTGCCTAATTTGTCATAAGATTAAGTACTATTATTAGTGTTTTGGCCATGCTGGGTAGCCCACTCGGTACATATCAAAATAAAATAGTAAGGAGCAGGAAACACACATGACCAAGTTCATAAGTTCATTAGAAGTAGTAATAATAAAATAAAAAACAAGTCCTTACCTTTAAATGTGCCTAAATCTAGAGAGACTCTTCTAGCTGTAGCTCTAGCTCAGTACAGCAGTTACATTAATTCACTACCTATCGAGTCATCCTCGCGTCATGTGACACTCACTTTCAGTTCTCTCTCTTCAGCCACTCCCGACTGGGAAATCACCAGCGTGTATTTAAGGAAGTTTTATTCTTACTCCTGCTCTTCTATTGTTGTCCCTATCAGCAATGCCTTTTAAATCATCCATTAAAGAAACAAAAACCAAGCAGAGAAAAGAGAAACAAGCTGAAATTTCACACTACAGAACGCTACTTAGTATGAGTGATTTCAAAACGTAAACCACTACAGTGGGCTTAGTTTCTGTTTGACCACATACGTACACACACACACAGAGGATGAGTAATCAACCTGTTATTAAGAAATTCATCGGTACTCTTGAAATGAAAACAAAAAGTACGAAAAAAAGATCACAAAATAAACATACATTACAGCAACCAAAAAGAAAAAACCCTAATCTCAGAAAAATCTTCACAAAGTTTCAAAAGATCTTCAGGCTACGAGTGGAACACGAGTAAACATCCTATTAGTCTTTCTTCAGAAGTCAGATGTAGGAACCTCCTCACCCACAGGCATCACTTAGCCAACAGTGAAGGTCACAGACAGAGACCCCACCCCCCCAGGTTCTATTACAATATTACTGCCTATTCAAGGCGCTGCCGTTTTCAAATACTGCATTAACATCAATTCAAATACAGTGGACTAGTGCTTAAAATGAATTAATATGCTGTTCAGTATCAACGAAGATTTTTTACTCATGATATTTAAACACTTACTCCAGATAGAGTTACGGTATGATCTAATTTTAGTATATGTGCTGCCATAGCAAACAATCAATAAAGATGAAATAAAGAAAATGAACTAATTTTATACAACATTACATAAATAAATGAGAACAGTGATTTTTCTATCTTCATGAACAAAACATTTTTTATGATAGGATGCGAGGTCATATGTATATGTCCCATGTATATACATAAATATATATATATATACATATATAAACACCTACACGTAATGTCACATATGCATTGATATATGTAAGTATGTACATGTAATAATAATACACAGTCGTATGCAAACGTTTGAACACCCCCAGTCAAAGTGCATGTTTGGTAGATTTTTTTTTTTAAGTGAAAATAAGGCCCAATCCCATTTCACCCCTCGCCCCACTTAGCCCTTAGCCCTCTGTTTTGCGCGTTCACGTCTAGGGTAAGGGTGTCCTAATTTTAGTTGAGATAGAGGGGTAGGGTGAAGTGTTAGGGCTACATCGCCCCCCAAACTGAGGTTTTTCAGAGACTCCAAAGTGAGTTTTTTAGAAAAACCGGCAAGATGGCTGCGCGAGCGACCAAAGAAACCCACGAATGTGAGAATTTTCTCCGTTAAAAAATTACAATAACTATTGTATTGTCTTAGTTTCATGTCGTTTCAATGTATTATGGTTGTTTTCTTCATAACAAGCACAAAAAAATTGCTAATAGCATGCTAATGTCTCGGAAGCTAGCTAACTTTCCTGTTCCACCTTAAATAGTCCAGCAGTTCTGACGCCAAAAGCTATGAATTTAAATACTTGGGTTCAACATTTCACATATTGCTGCACTAAATCCAATTAAACAAGACTAATAATCCTTTCTTTTTTCAATCAAACATGCATTTTTAAGAACTGACAATATCCATGATATGCTAAGAAAAGCGTCCTAAGACATACTGTTACGTAATTTATCTTGATAGCGATAAATAATGTCATACTGCCCAGCTCTAAGAAAAACTAAACTTAAAATATGAGGTGTGTAAAAACATTTTACATAGGCCACATTAATGGGTACCCCCCCACATATACGTTAATTCAGCAAATGAACAGTAATTATGTAATTGTTATATATACCTATATGTAATAATGATATATCTTGTGTGTATATCTTATATATTGTCCCTGCCACACAAGGAAACATTACTAACGTTTAATGGAAGTTAATGTAAAAAGACTTTATTCCAAGTAATTCTGGATCATTTCTATTGGTCCATTCATCATTAAATTTTCACACGTTGTTTAGGGCAGTAGGTTATACTATATATAACAGTAAGATTTCTATATACATGTGTGTATATACCTACATGTAATATATGCAATATGTGCGCGTATGTACCTACATGTATATATGCAATGTCATGTTTTGGAATTTTTGTTTCGGTCAGTGTCTGAGGAGCTACAGAGGGTTATTCCTTGGCACTCTGTCCACGCTGCTGAAGCCCGTACTGTAGATGTGAGTGGAAAACCCCCTCTCCTGATCCAACAGTGCCACTGCAGTCTTTGGCACACAGCAGCTGCATTCCACTGATACAATGTCAGCCGCTCTGCTCTGCGCTGTTATGCTTTGCTCTGCTTTGCGTGCCTCTGGAATAGCGAGTCTTTCCCGGAACGCTCTGCCCCTGGCCTGCGTAACCCCAGCCCCCTTCTGCTCCCTGAGCGAGCAGCACGTTCTTATCTCCGCCTTTATGACCATGACAGAGTGAGGAAAATAACCACTGCTTCCAGCTCGCTGACAAAAAACACCAGGCTGCTTCAACTGCACTTAAAATTGCAGTCAAGTATTTTGATAAGATAATATGTAGCCAAATAGCCTATTATAGCCTAAGAGCTACTGCTGGGTGGTGCTGTGGTATTGATAAAACTTAATATCACAATGTTTGATAGATATGTCATAGTGTCACGGTAGTTGATGGGGCTGAAGTTAGCATTAATGAAGCTAATAAACCTGTGCTTCCTGGTGCTGTGTACTAAAATAATGCCCTGCAAACCTGAACTATCTTGTTTCGATTGGCCTTTTTCTTTGCTTACAATCACACCAAAGGGTACCTTTATCGGTACTGTCAAGTAAAACAGACAGAAAACACATATACAAAAAGGAAACTTACTATTTTGCCCAGCACTACTAAGAGCTATTTGAGAATGGAAGTCTTCCTAGAGATAAGGCACAACAGCATGGACGAGTCCAGAAATATTACCTAGACATATTACACAAAGCAGACACTGGCTGCTCTGAATGGCTGAATAGACAAGGATGGTCCAGTTTTACCAGCCTTTATTTTTTATTTTAAAGCAAAAGTGTCTCTAAATTATTCTCTAATGCCCACAATACCCTCACACTTTTCTCAGTGCATGCTTTTCTGTACATTTTCCCCTCCATCATGCTCACATACAGTAAAAACTGATTAGATTCTGAACGGTGCATGTTGTTTTTCCACCAGAGCACGTGGGTAGACAGGATGTAGCATTGAGAGTGACGCTAGCATCAGCCACAAATCGTTATTCATCCTAAAACTGAGACTGCAATTTTGCTCGCCTGAACAAAGTAACCTTTACACACACATATCCAGTTCGCCCACTCGACGGTCTGCGCCAATTTACTTAAGCCGATCGCCTCTCTGACTTCCATAAATATTCACCAGTTTCCGCTGGCCGGTGCTGAGTGTAAACAGAGCACAAAACCAGAAGATTTATTCCTGTCCTCAATTCAGCTCTCCACACTGAGAGCTGATATGATTTATTTGTTTAATAACTAGGATCATCATCAGATGATGCTGGAATTTTCTAGGTGATTCAGTTTTCTTCAATGCCATACTGTACACAATTCATGCTCCTTTATGTACAACAGACATTCCAATAATGTGGGACCGTCATGATTAATAGACTAAACTTGATTATTCACTTTAAAAATATTTTAGCGTCTTAATGAATCGGCAAATTGAATTGGAAATTTGCATGATGATATTTTAAATTGTCCTGCTGCTCATACATACATACACACACCCATATATATTAATGTGTGCGTGTATATATATCACTGTTGTTGGAAGAAAACCTTGTATCTCCAAAATGATAACTTTATAGGAGAAGGAAAAAACCTACTTCACTTTTAATGTAAGTCAATGGAACCAGACTTTTTTCCAAGTCATTTTAGGTCAGTTCTTTTAGTCCATTCATCATAAAGTTTACAGACAATGTAAATGGTAACAAGTATTTTCAAATTATGTCAAAAACTGAAAAACGGAAAAAATGGACACGAGGTTTTCTTCTGATAACAGCGATATATATAAGTCTTTGTGATATATATTTAAGTCTTTTTAGAAGCCTTATTTATTTATTAATTTATGCATTTTTCACTAAAGTATTTCGGAGTTTTTGAAAGGCTATGTTTGGTTCAGCTGAGTCAATTATTATTATGCTAATTTAAAAACTGATTAATGACATTCGTCAATTAATCAGTAGATTACTTAACTGCTAATTAGACAGACTGCAGACTGCCTTACAATGATGATTATCAGGTTCTTGTTCAGAACTGCATTCTATAGGCTTCATACAAAGGGAATGGCATGTTTAAGACAGTCACTGAAGTGGCATGATGGAAACGTAAGAGAACGCGTTTGCTAGTAAAGTGAAAGGTGAGGGTGTGTCTATAAACATTTGTGACATTCTTCAGACATAAAAAACAATCCATAAATATATAAATATGCAATATAACTATTAACAACCTTACAGAGACGACATAAACTGCAGACTGTGGTCTGGATGCAGACCTAGAAAAGTATTTCAGTGGACTGAACTGAGCACTCGAAATACATTCTGCAGCAAAGCTGATTTACCGTATTGAATTTTTTTTACTATTTCAGCAACATAAAAACCATGAATCAATGTGGCGTCTGCTGCAGTCTTGTTTTACAGTTTATCTAATCACATGCAATTATGTACACAAGGAAGTGGAAGGCAGCTCAGAACACAGAGACTAATAGGCCAGATACCAGGTCAGAAAGAGAAAAATTTGACACAGCTTCATAAATCTCTCATTTTATTTACTATTTCTGCTCTGAGTAGTGAAACACCAACAAAGCTTGTTAAAAAAAAGGAAAGTGCTAGTCTAATCCCTGACAGTGCAAGAGCATAAAACGCTCTTTAAGAATAGCCGTTACCAGTTTATTTTATTTGAATTGACAAATATGTTTAAAGACCTATTAAAACTTTAATTTTTATTTTTTTTATTTAAATTTTTTAAAGTTTTTTGTAGGTTTACAAACTACAAGCAATTGTCATTCAATTTTAAAATGCTCAACAGATGATAAAAGTGCATTAAAAATAGAACAGTGCATCATGCTTTATTTTATTTTGTCAGTTGCTTGGACCAATCATTAATGGTTAAGACATTTAAAGGTAACCACTGGCACCATTCACATATGTTGGTTTGTTTATTTGGACCTTTGTAAGCAAGACATTTGGTGTAACCGGACACCAGTTTTAGGTCAACATACCTCTTTTGTTTGTCAAATGTTTAAGTATAATTGTAATTATTAGTAGGAAAATACTACTATTATTACTACTACTAATATTAATATAGGATAACATAAATACAGTAAGTCCTAAGTCCTTAAGTGGGTGCTCACAAATATCCCAATGCTAATATCCCAAAAGCTAACATGTTATAAACCAGGGTTTCTCAAACTAGAGTCAGTCAGGCTGTCGAAAAAAACGGTACACAGGCTTATTTTTCCTAATTTTTGATACTGACTTTTTCCATAAAATCCCACAGACCAG